GTTTAAAAGACCCTGGTTTTAAAAGGATACCAGGATGGCATTACACCTGTAAGTCACCAGTACACTTCCCCTGAGGCAAGCAGAACTAGTGTTTTGCATCATCTGAGGATCAGGTAATATAATGCTGTAATTTTGTTTGTATTCTTGCCTTGCTTGTCTTACATCTCTAAACCATACTTTGCCGTGAGTTGCAGAAGTTGGATTCTGGATTAATGTAAAGAGAATTATTCTGGATTTAAATTTGCAGCCTATTGAAGAAGTGTCTGTTCCTCTTGCGTCCAAACCCCTGTACACACACACAATTTGTTTAGTCTGTATAACAACCATGTAAAATACGTATTTTGAAAGCAGTATAAAGACCAGGGACAGATGACTGTTCCCTGAGGACAACAATGCTCAGCTCCAGCAGAACTTTATCCTTTTCCATAAATTCTTCTTATATTTTACTTCCCTTCAGCTCCAAGTACAGCAGTGTGCTTACTAGTACCAGCCTTGGCACCAAACCACAGCAGAACTGAAATATATACAGCACCTGTGCAGAGGGGAGTCCTACTGTATACTGACCAGCTAACAGCATTAGAACTGCTATTGGTTTTACAATTTCCACGTTTACAATTTCAAGTCTGATTTTCTTTGGCAACTCAATCTGCATGATGATTTTGATCAAATGCCCCATCTTCTAACATTTGTAACACATTAAAAAATCCACCCCTAAAAAGCTCATATTTAAATAATCATATAATAAGTTAAATGCGTGCTGTGACAGGATATGAATTATCTGACAGGCTGCAGATTAATACAAGTTTAGTCTGGAAGACAGATACAAGTACTGAGTCCAATTTGAGCATTGAAGATAAGAATGCAATCCTTTGCTTGCTTCTGCTTAAATGAATGAGAAAGGGTAAAATGAGATAGATTGTTCAGACCTTGATATAAGGCATCTGACTGAAAACTCATTCGCTAATTGTTTAAGATTAGCACCATTGAACCAAGGTAATTTAAAACACTGAATTGCTATGGGGTGCCAGCTACCATTGGTAACTCTCACTCACTCTAGGCCTTTGTAGTGCTGTGGGTTCAATGTGTTTACTTGGTTTTTGTATGAAGGGAGATAGAGAATATTATTAGTCATTGAACCTTCCCTCACCTTTTCCCCCGTGAGGAACATGCCTAATGAAAATTCGAGCTGTGCTGCCAAACTGATATTGGCAAAAGATCTTTTCTTTGCCTGATTGGATAAATATGCAGCTGGTTTTGGAATCAATGCTTCTGTGAGTGAAATTAAAAGATGTTACTTTAAAATGCTGTAGTATGTATGCAGTGGACTTTCGTCAGCTGAAATGTCACGGCCAAGAAATACACAAGATGCAAGACTGTGAGCAATACACATAGAAGATCAAGCGAATGCTCCTACTTAATATTTTCGTGGTGTTTAAATATTTTTGCTTTTGATACAGGTTCCTTTTTTCAAAAAACATTATGTTCAGTTAAAAGCTGGCCCAAATCAACTGTAGTTGCAGGTTAAATTTCTTGCCAGGCTTGGAGCTTTTAGTTCTGTTTTAATGTTAATTTTTAAAGGAAATCGTTCAGTTTCTATAAAATAGAAAAATCAAATATATGCTATGCTATGTAATTTCTCATGTTCCAGGAGTTCTAAAAGGGTTTCAGGACCAAACTGTTCTGTTCTGAATTCATTGCTGTGCTTTGATCCTGGTGAGAAAATCCATTGTGGGTATGTGGCAGGGAGGCCCCGCTGAGCCCAGCACGTTCCCCGCACGCCCACGCCTGCGGCCACAGGGGATCTGGGGAGGGCTCAGAAGCTGCGCCAGGCACAGCCACATCTATTGTGCCTCTTCTTCTGAGGGCAGCAGACCTTCCTGTACCAGCCAGACCCCGCTGACCGCTGCGTCTCTGCAGCACAAACCCTGAATGCAAGAAGATAACAGCTGCTATCACAGTGCTTTTTATCTGGGAGGCAAAGTCTAAAATTGCATCTGACCTCGGTGTGCGCAGAGACACCAAGCGAGGAGCGCTCTGCCTGGATCCTCAAAGGGTTTAGATTAAATCACTAAGAGTGAGGTACCTAAATAAATAGTTCTGAGGATAATAGCTTCTGTGACTTCTACTTTGTGTGGTACAAAGTAGACTCCAAACTGTAATTTATCAAATGATATATTGCAGGCCTTAGAAAACACAACTCGGCTTTTGTGTTGGTTTTTCCCTAATAGGTTTACTAATATATAAAATTATGACACTCCATTTACTTATAGAATCATACATGTAATTAAACTAGCTATGGTATAGATTTAAAGAGTTTATTTATAGTGAAGCTTCTGTTTGCACTAGGTCAATGGTTTTTAGCAACAAAACTCCATAAGAATAGAATTTCATAATAATGCTAATAGCCTTTGTATAACAAAAAGTAAACAAGCACATATTGGTCTGTCAAGTGAGTGTGTGTATCCATCTTTGCATATCTATGTTCCTGTGCAGCACAGGCTTAGGGAAAAGCAGATCAAAACCACATGCTACGTGTCCAGACAAATAATCTTTTTGAGCTTTGCCAAGGCAACAGAATGAGTTCTTATTTTTCTCGTATATTGGGGTCTGCCTGCTTGCCCAGTCATTTGTTTAGAATTCAATGGGAAAATAAGAAAGCTAAAACTGACACTGTGCAAAATTAAATTAATTGGAATTCTGTTCCTTCATGATAAGACTTGAAATGAGATTTAAATCAGTTTGTGGTTGGTAAAACATGGCAATTTGATGTCTGTTCCATAAAACTGACAACTGCATCTAGTTGTTTTTCTTCTGAAATTGATCAGATAATTTGTTCAAACTTGGAAAATATCTGACAGTTACACAATCAGACAGATTTGTTCAGAAAATTACAACATAGTGAAGGAAACTCAATTAGTTTTGTCAGCAAATATAAAGGCACTAGCTTGCATTTCCAGAAACTGTCCAAAGCTTTTACAGATACTCTTGATTCAGCTAAAATCAAGCTAATTATATGCTGGGCTCAAAAGTTCCTCATTAAAAGAACATTATTTGTCTTATAATATTCAAACTCTAAAAGATAGAAAGTACTGAAATGATTAAGTAATTGCTTTGACAAACTGGTGTATATATATATTACTGTAAAATTTGCTCAACAGTCCTCCAGACTTTTTCAGTACCTCAGCTACTTAGTATCTTTTTTAAACCCACTGGGCTACTTAATATCTTTTTTAAACCCACTGGGTGGACACAGTGGTAAATGTTCTTTATCCAAATTCTACGCAGAGAACCATACTGATTTCTGATTTGCTTTTTTTCCTTGTATTTCGGGTCACTGCAATATTTCCAATGCTTCATAAATCCCAACGGTTATTTTGCCAGTGTCTAGGATAAGGTACAGGGTGGTAACAACCCTGCATATGGGATGCAAGGCAGAGGGAGACCTCTTATTTCTGAGTGTGTTTTTTGGGAGGTAACTAGGATCTGATTTGGTGAAGAATTAGTAATAGAGAACTTGGAAACTTGAAACATTACTTCACCTGCTTTCTGCTGCAATTCTATCTGCCCAATAATTTTGTGAATCATAACTCAAGTAGAAGCAGCTGGAAAATGAGAACACAGTCAACAACCATGTGTGAAAAATATGGTTTAAATGCCTTGCTAAATACAAGAGCTTGCTGGTAGAAGCTGAGGAAGTCCAATTTTCTCAGGTTGCAGTGAACAGTGTTGCCCGTGCAAGCTTCTTTTCTTTTCATATACTATCTTTAATGCTATTTGGTTAATTATCACAATATTACCTGAAATTATTTATTGGTTTTCTTTCCAGATATAATTTGTTGAGTTGTCACAAGTCCAGCTTTTCTGCTTCAGCGGTACCCATCACTTGGAGAGGCAGTGGTAATCCTCTACCATTATTGTCTTGTATGACTGTTGACCAATTTATAGTACTTGTCTAATTGGTGTCAGTAATTACATTTTCTTGGGATTCTCATTGTTGAGAATACAAAGCAAGCTATTGTAGAAATCTCTCTTTAATGTGTGTGTGGTTAAGAAGGCAGAAAGGCAGTGAGAGAAGGTGAAAGAAAAATGTCAGAGGACCCTCCAGAGTTTCTGGAAGTAGATAATCAAAACTGTTAAAAGGATAAATCTTAAGAATTTACTACAAACAAAATTTGCAGTAAAAGTCTAATCCTGTACATACTGAAGTGATATTTCTACTCACTTGTTTACAAGACCCGTTAACCAGAAGAGAAGCAAAATATATAGATAAGTATTGAAACAACATGTGTTCTAGCACCATTTAAGGAAAATTTCAGCTCTTGTTTTTAAGGGTGTTAAGTATACTTCAATTTTTTTCCAACCATTAGCTTTCATCTAGTTTTCACTAATTATTACAGGTACCAAGCCAATGTTTTGCAGTTAACTGTCCAGGGACAGTTTTAAAGGTATGAAAGCATAATTAACTTAGTCAAGAAGCTGAAGTTTAGGACAGAAAAAAGTGAACATGCAGAGAAATAACCTTCTTTCTTTTAGTAGGAATTCTTGAATTTGGAAGTAATATGCTGATTTTTTAGTATACAAAGCTTACTTCACAGTTGCCAAGACGTGTATTTACCTATGCCAGCGGGAGCTCCTCCAGGTGTTAGTGGGAGAGAGGGAGGACACTGAAAGTGCATTGAATTAACTGGGTGGCACAGTCAGTGCCCTCAGCTGGGAGTCTCCCAAGGGTCAGGCATTATGGCACTGGTACAGCCCCGAGCTTTCACGCATTCTCTGCTCCCAAGAATTGGCACATGACAGCACACGACGAGAGGCAGCGCAGCTGCAGGAGAGGGGCGACTCTCAGAGTTACTTACGTTGGCAGCCCAAGCTGTGCCAGATATATCCCGGCAGACATTTATCACATTTAGGCCCTGATGTTCCCTCCTTACACTCACAAAATCCTCTGTCATTACAGCGATCATGGACTGAACCAAAAGGGTTACAATAACAGTCTGCAGAAACAAGACAACACATACACACTGGATTCAGGTCTACATGTGGAGATAATTCATTCAATACCAATAAAGGGTGCATTTCCAGTGCTAAAGGTAAAGGAAGACTGTCTATTAAGAACATCTGGTGTACTGAATGTAATTACTACATGTTCATTTATTTGTTTGCATGTGTCATTTCAGGAAGAGACATTTTATGATGCAAAGAGAAAAAGTAGACAGAAAAGATATAAAGGCAGAAGATACCACGGTCTTGAGGGTAAGTGATTGTAACAGATTCTCTTTGGCAAGAATATTTTTGACAATTTAATGAACATTAGAAAAGCTTTGTATAGTATGGATATATCGACGTGCCATCAGGGTGAAATGTTTTGCTTTATTAAAATAAGCTTATCTGTATTACTCAATATTTTCAAAAGTGCTAGATATCTTTACAGGGCTATATAAATGCACTTTACTTATTTCCAAGATAGTCTTCCTTTATAAGTTTGAGCAGTATAATAATTTAAGTGAATATGTGCCATTAAATTGATGAGATTGATTTATCAGTGACATTAATAAACCTTTTTCGTATTCTGCAATGAAAAGCTTGAGGTGAGCACTAATGTAATGCAAAACCTTTAAGAACAGGCTTTATGCAGCCATTTTAATTTCTCTCACCTCCCAGCGTGCAGATGGAAAATGCAGTGAGGCTCATTCCCCGCTGTATATTTTTCACATGTGTTCAGCTAATTAAAGAATAAGTAGGGTAACACATTTCCTCCCACAACACTTACTGTGTTGTTCATTCACAGCCCTTTTCTTTATTGCGATTACAATATCTGTGTTCAGCTTTCAGCCAGCTGAACAAAGGCAAGGAGCTCACAGAGCTCATTTTTGGCATTCCTGTTCTTCACCTTGGTTATTTAGATTTTGTTTTCAAATGAAGGGTTATTTCATTTTTATGTAGACCCATGTAGACCCAGAGTAACTTCACTGTTAACTGAGACCACAGACTCCTTTTGGAAGCATCTGATCTCTGCTTTTTGCTGATTTGGGGTAACCTGCTGGGAGTCTGGATTTATATGTTTGTGAATCAGTACTACTTTGATGACTACATCTCCCAATTGTTCCCTATTAGGTTAAACCTCAGTGGTACCATAAATGAAAAAATGGACTTGAACTGGGAAGTTACATATGTATATATATCCAGTGAAAAAAACTAACAGGAAAAATATTGCTAGAAAGACATTTGTCATCTGTTGTCTCACTGTTTATTAACTATAAATTACAGATGGCACTTTGAACATTTGGAATGCTGAAGAAGAATAGTTACCTTTGGCAAAAGGGTTCCACAATAATAACAGAGTCAATTAGCTGGCAGCATTCATTAATGAAGTGGAAAACTGACATGCCAAAAATACTCTGCAAGGCTAAGTATTACAGCAAAGTGAGTGCCATTGAAAAGCTGGGAATTGTGATATTAATCAGATGTATCAAATGTTTATGTAAACAGGCATAGACTTGAGATACATTCTGAATGCAGGAAGTGAATTTTGCTTCAAGAGTGTTTACAGAAAACCTTGAAAGACAAAAGCTTGGAATTACATTAAAAACAGAGGGCCCAATTCTTGTTAAAAATAGCTTTGTTAGATATAATGAAGTTACAGTGATTTAAACAAGTATTTGTGAAAAAAGTAGCCTGTGATTCTGGATGTTATATTTTCCAGAGAACGAGATCCTGAACCACTGACACGTTTCCTACGGAGCTCTATCATATAAACGTGTAGGAAGTTCCAGGCCCGTATCATGCAATTGAAGGGAAAGTAAAGAGTAGAAACAAAGTTTTAGGCCAGACCATTTTGCAAAATTAATAGATCCAATCAGAACACACAAAAGACTAATTCTAGCTTCCATCTTTCTCAATTGATACCACAGTAATATAACCTACCGAACATTCAGGGTCATTGTCCAACACAATATCAGACTTTGTGGAACACTTCCCAAGGCCTACCAAATACTGAAGACATTACAAATCTCAAAGGTCATAATTTCAGCGTGCCACAGGGAGGCAGCAAGTATCTCCAATGCTCTTACAACAACAGGGCACTAAGGAACACTGAACTAACATTCCCAGATCATCGTAATAAGCAAACCACACACAGAAAAAGCCCCTGCAGATCTGAACTGAGAAAGAATTTTCATCCTAATCTGGGAACTATTTGTAAGGATCGGAAGATGACAGAAATGGTAATGTGTTCAGTGGGGTTCACTCTATCAATGTGATGCTTCAAACAAAACACAATGAGCATAAATAAGAAAGAAGGTGGGGAAATGGGCTGAGGTTTGCTGCTTATTAGTCTGGGCTGACAGTGGCTCCAGGACAACCCCCAGGGTTAACTTCTCGTGTCATTAGGTGTTAACTGAAGCCTAAGCCTGACTGACTGCAAGGGTGGCTCTGTTAAAAGTGTGACAGCAATCACCAGCTGAGTATTTATGTGGTGAGGCAGAGGCCATGTTTTATTACTCTGGGTCTACCTGGTGGTTTCCATGCTATCCTTGCTTGTCAGTGTGTGCATTCACTGAAAGTCACTTGGGCTTTATCAAGAAATAAAAAACTCTTCAAGCTGTTAAATTATTTTTCACACCGAATGAATAATTTCAAACTTCAGAATGCCTTGATTTATTCTGAAACTGCAGTTGCCCATATGAGGTAATTTTGCAGTTAATGTACAAATCCACAAATTTTTGATATTTCATTTTAGGAAATAAAATCTATTTTGCTGCTAAAGAAATTAAGGGCATCAAGAATTTAGATTTAAGCCCACTGTATAATACATTGCATTTGGCTCACTAGTAAAAAAAAACTTATCAGGATTTGAATTCTTTGTTCTTAAAAATTAAGCATTTTACATTTTCTCCATTGATTTAGCATCAGCTAAAATTTACAGATTTGTTATCCGTGTACTTACCATATGTATTTCAGCAAACTGTGAAGCAGTTTTGATAAATCAGAGCCAAAGCCCTATTAGCTGCCATTAAACTAGCTCATCCAAACATTTGTTACCTTTCTACATACATGGCTGAAGAGGAAAGAATTAGCCTGAAAAAATGACTTTCATACGGGAATAAGACTTGTACATATCACTGCAAATCTGCTTATTAAAATGTTCATGCCAACATTTCATTGTAGTTAAACCATAGAACACTGCTTTTAAACTCAGAGAAAAGAGAAATGAGCGTTTCCAATAGAGCAAGACTGTGCTTGACCTAGAAGGGTGGTGAATCCATCAACTCTTTCACAGGTGAAAATATTCCATGTTTTGCCCAATTAAATCTTAGGAGCCCCAGATCAAGACAGCACTTTAAGAACAAACTTCTCTGTTTTCTGAAAAGTGCTTAAGTGTCTGTTCATTCCACTGACTTTACACAAGAAGTAGGAAAAACCTTTTAAGTTGGCAAATCAGCTAGAACACATACATTAGAAACATACATTTTGTATGGTAACTGTGATCTGGAAAACTGTCTTAGTCCAGCAAGAATGTTGTTTATTTCAAATTAATTACCTAACATGTAGAAAACAAGGTTTGATCCTACAGTTATTTCACATAGTGCAATTCTCATCGAAGTCCAAGAGAATTCTGCTTACATTAAGATGGAAAGTCAGCAAATGTTTCACATTGCCTATTTGTTTTGCTAAATAAAAGATTTAAAAAATTTATTTCCTCAGTGTCTTGGCAATTTTAAAATGCACAGTTGTCTTACCATGACATTTTAAATATATCACTTATAAATTAATTTTAAAATTACTTATTTTTGGCTTTTTGTTTACGAACTTCCTTGTCTTATGTAGCTGCAGCTGCTGTCTTAGCATTTCAGTGTATGTGGGAAAACAACATACTGAATGAGCTGATGAAAAATTCCAAACAGATCAATTTAGAGTTGTATTCATTAGGCCTATTTAGGCAGCTGAAATTATACAGCCCTGATGTCATACCAATGATGTCTGTCATCTACATCAAACAAATATGTGGGACAGTAGTTTTTTCCCAAGAACATTTGATTGTGTTAATCTCCTCAGCACAGTCATACAAAATCATGACTTGCCTACTAAAGTTCTTATTAGCTCTGACTAATTACTGGCAAAGGAGATCATGCACTTCCTGAATGCATTGCCAAGCAAGTTAAAAGGAGGACACATGAGATGCCGTGCATGGATGGATCTGTGTGTTTATCACAAGATAAATATGTAAATCTGTCAAGTTACAAACTCAAATAATAGCAACTTAAATAGTTTCTGGCTTGAATCTCAGCAGTGGATTATAAATATATTAAAATATAATTTATTCACCCGTAGTCTATTTTGATTTTACAGTATCTGCTGATTACTCTTTGCTTCCTGGAAGATGAAAAGAAAAAAAAAATCACAATGAAAATCCAGAACAGGTCCTACTGGAGCTTATGTCCATAAGAAACATGGTATTATCTGTTTGTTATTAGAACAGTGTTTTTAGTGACTATCTGTTAATTACTGGCCATTATACAAAGGTTCCTTTATTGACTATGTTCAGGCTTCACCTAAAGTGTCCTAACTTTGTTGTATACTGTCTGTGGTGACATGAGAACAAATGCATATTCTTCTAGCGTGCTAAGATCTTAAATTTTTTTCTAATACACTTTTCTTATTATGTTCTAACATTTTCTCTAATTCTGCAGTTTGAATAATTATCGCAGATGCTTGTTCTAAAGCACTGTTTTCACCTAGGAATCCTTTTTCTAAATTGACATTGTGTCACACTGATTTGACAAATTCTGTTTCTAACCTCATGGGCATAATTTCAGTTCCTCCTCTAAGTAGCGGGGAGGTGACACTGCATTTACAGCCCTGTGTCTGGGAGCAGAATTAGCTGCAACATGTGAAATTCAGTGAATAAAAGGGATTAACAGAGGTCCCTCCCCATGTCCTCTTGATGCAGCTGGCAGCTTTTGTAGGTATACAGGCAAGTATTCAAGAGTATGTGCAAGTAATTGCAAAAGTCAGATTGGGACCAGGTATTTAAAACTCATTAATTTTCATGTGTGACCCCAATGTGGCTCCCTCCTATGTAAGGAGAGTACATGCAGTTTCTCAGGGTTTTCTGGGGAAAGTCTACCCGGCACCCAAAGCCAGAGAGGTTTGTCATCATTTACAGATTCAAAATGCCTCCTTGGGGCTACCAAGGCAATAGAAATGAGGTGAGAAGTCTACACAGGTGCTCTGATCCATTGAAAAAGCTCATTCTGGCTTCAGTGGCAAGTAAGCAGCAGTGGTCCCTAGCAGCTGCCAGGAGCTGAAAAGGCACAGAAGAAAAGGCGCAGTTATCCCGGGACTGACCTATGCACACATTTTCATCGTCCAGCTCTGCGGAAGCATTTCTGAAGTAGCCCAGCCTGCATAACTCGCAGTGCTGACCTCTAGTGTTGTGCTTACAGCTCACGCAAATGACCGTATTGAGCAGCTCGATGTAACTGCACCGGTTGGAGTGCCCGAAGCATTCACAGTCTTTCAAGGAAGAACAGAAATGTATACAAAGTGTATACAGCAGCAGAGTAATAGCACATTACATGCTTAGTAAAAATGAACCATGAGCAGAAGTATGAATGAATGGCACATACATGTTAATCAATGTAACATGGACAGCAGCAGATGTTTATCTGCAATGGAAGTGGAGCTGGTTTCAGGCAGGTTAGCGTGACCCGACAACCATGGCATGACGTCGGAGGTTGGCTGTTGTTGGCAGACCTGATGGAACTGAAGCATTTGCAGTTGTAAACCTTTCAGGGTTACTGGAGGTTCAGTTTCCGCTGAGAGAAATGCACATATTTTTGCACATTTGAGATGAGTATAGATCAAGACCCGGGAAAAAACCTCCTCGTATTAACAATGTTAAATTCAGCGGACAAAATTGTCAAACTTCATTATGATTAAATCCACAACTGTAAGTAAAATAATTTTTTTTTTCTGACAGAAATGGAGAATATTCAAAAATGCTATTGAACTTGGGGTGTTATAACTGGTAAGCACCTTTAGAACCAGAATGTTTTATTTTCATGGCCAAATAAGTCTCTAGTTTGACAATTTTGGCCAACACCTCCTAAAACGATTAACAGTGAAGAAAAGGAAGGAAGACAGTTATTGAAGAACTACATCAACTGTACTTTTGAGGTAAGCATTAACCAGTTTTTGTATTCTGAGATGAAAACCAGTTGGGCTAGAAACGATTATGAAAATTCGGAAATTTGTACTGACTAGAAAGCATGCTTTTTACAGCCATCTGAAATGAAGTTGGCATGACAGCCACTTAAAAAAAAAACCCCTTCATTAAATATAGAATGCTAGTGCCTTTTAGTCTTTAATCACGAGCAATACTTGGCTTTATGCAGAACAAAGGAAAAATTAGAAATGTATCAATAACATTATAGAAGACAGAGCTCTGCTTTGTGTAGAATACTTGTGTAAGCCTGATTGCTCAACTCTTGGGATTATGAACCCAGAATGAATGCAGGAAAGGTTACTAGGATGATAAAAGAAGTTGAATCTATTTAAAAAGTGAAGACTAGGAAAGTTTGACTTGTTTCGTCTAGCAAACTGATGACAGAAGGTATCACCTTCTTGAATAAATACAGCAAGGAGCTAAGCCTCCTGCCATCCTAATGGACAATACTGGTACAAGAACATATGGGTGTTAACTGGCTACTGGGAAATTTCAGCTGGAAATTAGAAGATGGTATCTAGGCTTTAGGGCAGTGAGGTTGTTAGACACTTTCCATTTGTCACAAAACACACTGATGCTTTACAGATGTAGTTTATTAACTGGTAGAATAAACTACAGTATGTTTCCTGCAATAATGGAGCATTGGATGCAGTGACTTGGAAGGGCTTTGAGGTCCTGAAGTTACCTTGTAATTAGATAAAGCTCTAGCAGGGGGTGTAAAATGTTTCCATATGTGACAGAGGCCAAGTCCCCTGTGCTTCCTTTCCTCTGTTATGCTCCTGGTTATGCTGGGGCACCTGATCATCCCCCAACTGGTGGAGTGGGCTTCAAATACATATTTGAGCCTGTCTCTATTTTTGTAAAGAAACAACAGTTGCAGGGCATGTTTCTGAGTATGCTCTGCACTCCCAGTACATGGATATTTCCTTGGCTTTTGTCTGATGCACTGGACTGTAAATAGATTGCACCGTAAATGGATTAAATTTTTTTAGACACTTAGCACAACATATGTTTCAATCTTGAGAGCTGCCTTTCTGCTGCCAGAAAACATTAATCCATTTTACATATATGCATTTAGTTAACATATATTTCTTGTTCTCTTCAATGTTTTTCTGCTAAACCAGTGTTTTGTGGTTCATGCTATTCTGGTAATTTTGATGCCGGTAACTGCTGGAGTACAGGAAAACATTTAGTGTATCAGTCCCAGTATGTTACCACTTGACACAATTAAGTAAGGAGGAAAAAATGTTAGTTTGTTGTGTTTTGCAGCTGGTCAGTCTGATTCAGCATCTCAGCCAGCCACCCTGCAGCATTTCTCCCCAAGTATATCCATCTTGCTCAAGTGAAAACTGCCTGTGTGGAACAGATGAGATCTAAAAGTGGAAAATAGCACTAGCAAACAGGAATAATGGAAAATTGGTGTGATTTTGTTTGCGTTTGATTTTTAAAGTAAGAAAGACTGACTAGTGATAAGCAATCTGATCTTTCTGAAGCCAAGATTCAGAAGCAAGGCTGTCAGCTTTTCTGTCTGACAAAGAACCTGTCTTCTGCTACCAACAGATAACTTGTTTTGGTGAGATAATACTGTATTGGTATGTTGGTCAGACTTGTTGCTAAACATTTTCATATTCCAGGTGAATTCAGAGGAAATAATTTGCTTATATACTATAAAGAAAAGCTGACTATGCTACATTATCTTTTGTATTTAAGGCAGCAGAAAAAAGTGAAATAGTTCATGAATGAATGATTGTACTACTTCCACTCTGAAACTGCAATACAACTTTCAATTTTATTACTACTACACATAATTAACCATAGCAACAGCACAAAAACAAAAGCTGCACATTAAGCAATTCACTCTCAACACAGGGCCTGCTCCAAGTTATGATTTGGAGTGAAGAAACCTCTAATAATTACAAAGCACTTGGATGTATGCATGGACTGTGAAACATAAGCAGGAGGACTGTTCAAGTTCAGAGGTGGGTCATCAATACTTAAGGTAAACAAAGAGACCAGTTTTTAAACTTCGTTGCATTTCTATGGGTATTGCTCTTTTACAACAACTGTGCTGTGTGAAACCAAGTCTTTGTCTCAAAGTTAACTAAGATACAGGAGTGCTCTAGTAGTCTTGCTCAGGTAAGTAAATGCTACATGGTGTAGAAAAAGCCACAGTTAACTCAAAAACAGTCCATCATCTGATCAAACATTAGCAAAGAAAAAAAAGAAATGGCAAGTAATGATTAAATCAATTTTGTGATAGTGTCTGCTTCTCCCCTGCCTCCCCTCCATGTTAGTGCACTAAATTTTTGCTGTTGGCCTGGTCAGTGAATCATTTTTACATCCCTCTGTGCTTACAAAAATAAGCTATGTAAAAAGCCCTCCTATGACTGAAATGGAATTACTTTTTGTACTGGCTACATGAGGTGCTATCCAAGCCACTCAGACATAGCACACAGAATTGCACTCAGCACCGTGCCAGCTGGGAAGCTGTCAGTGCTATATGGCCCTTCCAGCAGATCATGTGGTTCACCTTAACCAGAAAGTATTCTGCTTGTTAGACCTGTCAGAAGCACAGCTTAGGGTCCTTAGGCACACAGCTCTGACCAGCAGCCTAAAGCACTGTCACACACTGGCAAAGTCATGCAAACACTGAAGGGAATGGGGAAAAGTCTCAAAATCAGGCTGCACATGGTTTACCAACCATTGTGAAATGACATGAGCTTCTTACAGTGCTAGAAAATGCTGCTTTCAGTTCTGAGTACCACATGTCAGAAAAGACACAGATAAGTTGAATAACAATAAGGAGTGAATGGTTCAGAAACTAAAAATCTCAGAGAAGAGATAATGACAGCTAGATAGGTTTAATGTGAAGGAAAAAGGGATTGCCATGTTAGATGTGATCATTGTTTTTGGCTGATTCAGGAACTGTCAAATCCCTTACAAACTCACAGAAGCATTGACTCTCTGAGCCTCCCTGACTATTTTCCAGTGCAATGATTTTATTGAAACAATCTTGATTCTGTTGCAGAAAGCATGATAAAATTATCCACTGAAGCAGGCTCACGAATTTGATAATCTAATTGTTTTGTTTCTATAAACTGAACAATTTCCCCCCATTCTAATGCTATGCACTTACATCTTTGAGATAACATACTATTATTGTAGGGATGAAGTTCTGCTGAAGCTTCAGCTATTACGACCATTAAAACATGAAATGTCATCACATGAAACAATGATAAACACACAAGGAAGGGTAGCATCATTTCTAAACTAAGGTTGCATGAGACAGCTATTAGTGTCACTTTTTAATTAAAAGCACAAAGTATATTTCAAGAAAAGTGCATTCACAAATCATTAAATTATATTTTCTTTTTCATTTTCCGCTCACTCCATGCTCCTCCTCCATACACTAAGGCAAACAAAGGAGATTTCATTGTAACCTTAGAAATTACCTGCTTCATAACAAATAGTATGGCTCATTACCATGATCTCATCAAATGGGTCAAACTAAGTTCACACATTTCTTAATAACCCTTTTCCTTGTTCATATGTATTTCATGAATAATGAGATATTCACAATAGCTGCAGAAAGACAAAACATCTTCATACATACTCTTTACAGATAAATTGATGAGGAAAAACAATGAAAAGATCTCAGGGTTCAGACTGTGAATGACAGATATGCAAATGAAACAGGTTGCCTGTAAGTCAGAAAGAATATTGGCATCCTTTATTATATTCATAAAATTCCATCATTTTTATAGAACACTAGAACATCAGTTCCAAATGTAATGCCTGCACTCTGAATTTGCACACTTACAATAAAATGAAGACATAAGGCACACTTACAATGCATTAAAAGACACAACAATGCATTACATTCCATGGCATTTACAGATACTTCTTGAGGACATGGACAATTGATATTTTATGGATTGTTTGCCCTCAACTAATCTGCTTATGTTTCCTCTTTTACAATTTATGCATGTCACTGAGGAAAACAAGACTCTAGTAAACATCTGCTTTCTAGGCAAGGATCTGAATAGTCATATTCATACATTTATCTCCTTTAAAAATAAATGCCATGTCGCTTTATTTGCCACCAACAACTGTCTAAGAAGCATATTTATTTTTCTTTGTATGGCTTATGTTTATGTGACTTAATGCTTCTGTTGTATTCAATGAAGATGCCTCACCAGTAAACTAATGGGTACACTCCACAGATATTCCAGATTCATACAGTGCAATGTTTTCACAACACAGAGCACTATGGGATCACTGTATGAATCCTAGAATTCCTACCTCTCTTGTGGTTTGCAACTTGAACAGAAGAAACAGTTGACATAGCTAATTTGGGAGCAACTGGATAGGTAATAAAATGAACAGCAAATTAGAAAAAGTGTCATATAGGAACAAATCAAAATATTAAAATAAACATCTTTATTTTCTAACTTTTGAATTTGACAATGGTTATTTTTTGTAAAGAAAGGGTAAAGTTTCAGAAAATTAGTTACACACTATCAATTATTGAATTATTTGAGCTGTAACACCCAAGATCAAGACAGGGAATGTAATTCACATCTATGCACTTTGGCAGTTCTGTGTTAGCGTTTATTTGGCGGTTTCCCCCAATCCATGACAAATGACTATATGATAACCAGAGTGGTCTGAAAAGGGTTTTATTGAATTTGAATGCATATTTATTCTGGCCAATTAGCATAAACCTAAACCCCACAATAAAATATTTAGATATAGGCAGATTTCTATAATCATTCTTTTAATACACTATCCTTAAATGAAGTATTTAATCTACAACTATATGTTAAACACTGTAACAATATGCTGCAAACACACAAAAGCTGAATAGAAATGCTTTGAAGTTTTTGTGTTTTGTGCTCCCTACCAAAACATCAAAACTAAATTTACTTAAACTCTTATTTTTGGGGAAGAAACACTGAGTAATTCTGTGCTGTTCAAAACATATTTTGCAATGAAGTTGGATCTTAGATCTCACACAGTATAATTAGGCAATGAAATCCATTAGAAATGCTAAGTATAATTTAACTGAGAATGGTTTAATTTAAAATTCTTCTAAATAACGTAGGCTAATCCTTACAGAGAGCAGAGGAAAAGAGATCAGTCTGGGTGGGGTTTTTTGTTTGTTTAAAAAAGACATGCAAAAACTTGGGAAATACAGTGAGAGCTAAATCAAATTGGAATGCTACACATTACTTTATCAGGGATATTTAGTTTTAAATATATAGTGAATAATCCAAACTAGATTCTAATCCTTACATAGCGCAAATTCTAATCCTTACATAGAGCACAGATCAATTAGTATTTTCTGTTTTGTTGGGCACATAGAAACTTGCATATATAACATGGCAGATTTCACATGCACATGGGGTGTTTTTGATTTGGTGATTGTGATCCACAGACTTAATTACAGCCCTTCCCATGTAATTCCCAACAGATTCCCAATACATCTCATTTGGTGTAAGTGGCCATTTTCTTGATTGCCTTTTCATTCATTTTATCCTCCACCTCTGTGTGTTATAGCACAGAAAGGACATCCTTTGAACATGAAAGCAAGCCACAGGCCAGATTTCTGCAGGGACCTTGGGGGGGGAGGAAAGGGCGGTAAATAAGAACAGAAGGAAATTATTTTTATAATGAGCAATCACTTTGAAATGTGAAGTGTAGCTGAATACTTCTTCAACTAACAAAGAATCTTAGTTTTATTGGTCATCTTAAGAAGTAATTTTGTTTCTTTCAGCGCTAATTGTCACATCACAGTATGAAAGTAATTTTTTGTGTAGCACTCAAATTGTAGAAAACCATAGGTCATTCCTGCAGAGAACTTGCTTGTATTGTGGATGGCATAAAAGCTGAGAATGCTTCTCAGCTCACTTGGGAAAACAAAGTGGAAACAAGACATTAAGAATGCGTTTGATGTTGACAGCAACAACCTGTGTTCACTGAAAAATCAAAAATTTACTCAAAATACAGATTGTGCTATCTAAACAAGTCCAAAATTTTCCTGGGCTTTCAGTGTATCACAGATTTTAGTCTGTATGTCTATTATTCCCATATTTGCAATAATGTTCACAGTCTGAGTGTTGGAACACTCCCTTTTCAGGTGAGGTTTGTTTTATAGTTATTTTCTCCTAGGATACCATTACTTAGCACCAGAGAAAAATGAGTTGGAGTATCATTGTTATTACTTTTGCCACCCTGTGGGACTTGTTGAGAGCAATTTCAGTACCTTTAGACCACTAGGAATTTTACAGCATCCTACCTTGGTTTGGTTTAGAAACCTCAAGGGAAGAAATATTCGGCCATATCCTATCAAACTTTGGAGGATCTGCATGCATCAGGAAAAATCAGGTTTTGTTATTTACATCTGTGATATTGTTCTAAACAGGCAAGCATATGGACAAAGACAGAGATTACACACAGCTATTACTGGACTAGTCTAAGTTGCACTAGAACAGAACACGACTCCACAGTGAACAAGAAAACAAGCAATTGATGATTCCCAAAACACCAAATGGACATAAAATACTGTGCATAACAATTTCTCTTCTATGGCTTAAAATATAATTTTTCATGATGAGAAGATATCCTAGGCCAATATATATAGTTCTAACACCAGGAACAAAACAGGAACATATTGTGTTAAATCTGCTCTGCAGAGATAAAACGACAGTATCAGACAAATATGGACTTCTTACCAAAGACACATATCTTACTGTAACATCCTGTTTCAGGGCCTTTTGAGTGAATTACATATCTGTTATCAGAAGAAATATATTTACCAGTAGAGTGGGCCTCTTCTTTGGCTCTCACACTTTTGTGCGTTTCATCAATTTCCTATCATCTGATATGTCTGCTGATATATTTTACAGCTTGATATTTTTTTTTGTCATAACGTTAAATATCTAAGTTTCTTAGAAGTTTTACAAAATGTGTTACTTGCATGAAGCATTTTGTGGGAGCAGTAGAATTAGCTGTGTCTCTTTAGATCTTCATCTCCTTTGATTAATATGTTCTGGGGCTGGGGAAGTGAGGAATGCCAACCCTTAGCAGACTGGTGCTGGGTCTTGGAGCTGGAAGTGAAGGGGATGGGGTTCTGGGGAAGGAAAGAAAACTTGTTTCTCTGTTGCCATCTGCCTAGCTTTGAATATTAGACTTGGACAATGTTTTTATACTCTTTTCAGAGTACTGCAGTGGTTGTGTCTTGTCTGAATCAAACAGAATTCTTCTTAAGGGTCACATCAGCCTTTGTCCCTGAAGTCCTCCCACACAAAGAACAATGAAAGGAAAGGATGGGGACCTGCACTGTGCCATTTGCTGTTAGGCAGTCTTCTGCAATTGAATGGGTCCAGTTGTAATTTAATCACACAATTACATCAGATTCTTGCATTTTTGTGCTTTTTCTTTACCAATCCAGAAAACAGAAGAAAGAAAAATGGAACCAGTTAGGTAGATTCTCAAAGAGTCTACATATTGACTGACATTAACCTGCCTGTACAGGTCAGATCCACCAATTCCCACACATAGGAAGTGCAAGTGCCCCAGTCAGAGTGGATAACAAGAAGTATCTCCAAGCTGTCCCTAAGGAGGTGCTGTGGTAACCCTCACCCTTCCACTGACACAGTGCTATCAAGCACCTGACAGACCACCTTCCTCCTCATCAGACACTCACTGACAAATTACTTGCACAGTTAATTCCCTGTCAAATTTTGGTAGATTTAGGAACACTGAGACTTGACCTAAACATTTTAAAGTGACTGGACATTAGGCATAACATAAAAATCAGGAGTTAAAAAAGGAAAAGCAGTCATTATGGACTATGTTGTCCTGCTGTCTCCTGAGCTTTTTTTTTCTTTTAGCCATTGTGCAGCATCAGAGTTGTCACTGGGCACATTTCAGACTGGAGCTTCAAATATCCTACCTGTATTGTTGAGTACAGTGTGGTGTGCTATAAAAATCCATATGTATAGTGGTCTTCAACTGAAAAGGCCTAGGTATTACCAGAGGTAAAATTAATGGTTTCAAAGAACTTTGTAATGCCTTAGGACTAACCCTCTGGAATTTGTCATTTCATAAACTGTAAGTCCTATACAGTAAATCAGATACTTTACATAATCAAACTGATATAATCAGTAATATTTAATATATAATTTATCCTGATCATGATTTTTATAAGTAATATTATTCCTTGTAATGCAGAAAAAAAATTTACATATTTTTTAGAAATTCTATAAATGCTATAGATCTGTGCTTGTTTTAGCAAACTTAAAATGGAGGTTGTGACTTACTGCAAAATAATTAAAAATTCCCTAACCCTTTAAATTAGATGACACTGAACTGAGTTTCTTAATGGGCACCCAAAACAATAAAGTTGGAGCTTACAATGCCTGGAGATTACCATTTAAGTATTATTACTACTGATTATTACTGGTTATTACTGCTAATCATAACCATATTAGAAGGGACTTCTGGAGGTCATTTATTTCCACAGTTTGCTCATGGCAAAGTCACCTTTAAAGTTAGATGAGGTTGTTGAGGGTCATATCCAGCTGAAACCAGCTGCTGCTTGGCAATGTGGTTAATGCTCCTTAGACTTAATGCATCTGTCACGTGCTTTTTTCAATCTTTGGTTAAGAGGGTATCTTTTACTCATATCCTTTATTCATGGCCTATATTTCCATCAAGATTACAGGTTTCTTGATAAAGGTCTCTCTTTGGATCTTTGAATGTTTTTTTAATGGCACTGACTTGAAATGTTTTATCGGAAAAGGTAGGTGAGAAGTCCAAGTCCAAGAATGTTGGATGTCATTCCCACACGTACATTGGAGCAGATGAGTCATCCCTTGAACAGACACTGGGAAGATTCATTTAGCAGCTAGTTATTCTTTCACAGCAACCTGTGAAAATATTTCTAGTCCTTGGTGATTACCACCAAGGGCTTTATTTATAGAGGAGCTGACTAGATAAACCAATCTTTTCCAGAAGTTCCATGCCCGGAAAGTGCTTTTTGTAATTAGAGTCATTATTTACCAGAATAATAAATGAATCTTGGGGTAGGTATTCTATAATTCTATTCTATTTTAATCTACTGTAGACTATTCCATGACAGTTGTTCTGGGCAAACAAGGCTAAGAAATGTGAAAAGAGTTTCTAAATGTATGTTTGAGTGTTATTATTTAAAAGTGAAGCTACTGTAGGCATCTTTAAGAGTGGAGGTATGCAAGCTGTGTGACTGAGAAAAAAAATCAGATATGACATT